TTTGTTACCCTCCTTTTTCTTCTATATCTTGATATACCTTTCCTTAGTGTTTTCATTGTTTGTATTTTTTCTTAAATCTTTTGTAATTGCATGTTTCTAAAACCTTCTCTTTCTGAGAAATGTAATTTTCTCTTTTGGTCTGATTTTGTTTCCTTGTTCACTCTGCTACTTGATCCTCTCTGCTTCTATAACCGTAACTCTCCATCCTCCTCCAAAAGCTTCTCTCTCTCCATCAGTTTACTATCATCAATCAGCCTTGCCTATTACAGAAGGAATGCAAACTTTTGGGGTCCTACTCACTCTTCAGCTCCAGTGACAGGTATTTCACAGATGGAGCGGAGCAAATGGCAATGTATTTATGAACACCATTTTCAAATTGCATGTTGATTGATTACCTTGTAGACCCCTCATGGCAATGTCCAACAATGCTATTAAGCCAGCTACCATATAACACTGCTGTCATATACTAGCATTCAGAAGTATGCTCTCTACCCATGATGGCTATTTATAATGATGATATTTATATTAACTATGTGTGTCTTTTTTCCAGTGCAAAATTATTTTCCAACTCTTCCTTTCCCAGTCTTTTTTTGTTTGCTACTGAACTAAAATAATTACCATAGTTCAGACCTAAAGCAAATCACTTGAATTTAGATGTACTGCTCTGGCTGGCATCTAATTTTGATGCAAAAAGAGTCTGGCTAATTACAGGTTTTCCTCAAACCTTCTAAAAGTGGGATTTTGTTTTCTATTTTCCTTTCCTGACCTGTTCCCTGTCTTGAAAGCCTCTTCCAGCCACATAATAACATTTCCCATTGTGCTTTAAATGTACTTTATTACATGAATTTAAAATGAATTGTCACCCTTTACATTATAAGTTCATTCTTACCTCTTTCCTCCTCAGTATAACTCTTAAAGCATACTTTCATTGGAGTAATAGCTAAAGTTACTTCCTCTTGACAGGTTGGAAAATGAATCATGATATCAGCCAGCAGCCTAAGAAATTTTGTATAAAATCTTAATGTTATTTTAAAGACTATAAATTACTATCTAGTATTTATTCTTCATATTAGTTATGAAAATTATGTCACTTTGTCATAACATTCGAAACTTCTTTCAAAAGGAAAATAAAGTTGTTGTTTGCCACACTTAAAATGTTATCAACTGTATTTTCTTTGTAAAGGTTAATAAATATGATGATTTTAATCTAACCAGTAGTATAATTAACATTACATCCATAAATTAGGATAAGTAACATTACCATTTATGAAAATGTACTTTGGTATTTGTGTGTAGAGTTAACTTGGCTGAAGACATGGCTGCTTTATTTATTTATTTTTTTAGATTTTCCAACATTATTTTTGCAACTCCATTTTTAGTAGAACACAAAACAACATTAAATTTTGGTTTGTTCAAAGTTTACAATTAATAGGAATACAGGAATTTTGCTTTTAACTAATCTCTACACTTCAATTGTTACTTTGTTTGCCATATATATTTCTTTTGCAGTCAGTATGTGAATATCACATGTAATAGAATCTTTCCTCCAAGAAACCCTTCATTTTTTCCCACTTCCAGTGACTCCTTGTTGTAACTGTAGAAACCTTCCCTCTAGAAATAGGAAACTGGGAGACAGCCATCTCCAGAACACTTCAGCTTGGCTTCCTGAGTAGATTGTGTTCTAGACTTCAATGGGGTTACTCGCACCATATCACACATGCTTCTGGGGGGAATAAGTGTCTCTTCAGTTTTTATTGTGCCTCTCTACAGCATTTATCACAATGGAGTTCTGATCCTTGATTGGTATCCTGAGGTATTATATAATACTGTAATATAAATAAATAATAATAATAATAGGTGGGCAAAAATCCAAACTCATAAATGATCCCTGTCTCCATTTGTTTTACCTTGGCATGCTTTGTTGCAAGGTCTACATGGAAAATGGATAGAGGATTATTACAGATTAGTTATTAAGACCTTTGAAAACACTCCTGACTGCACAGTCTGTTATGTCAATACTATCTTTTTAATAGTACCTTTTAGAACATTTTAATTGCTGTTTTTTATTTTTTATTGTTTATATAGTCAAATATGATGCCTTCTCCATTTTGGCAAAAATATTAATTTTACACTATTGGCTGGTTTAATTTTTAAAAAGAACTCAGTGGAACAATTAATGCATTTGTTTTCTCACTTCTCAAGTGTATTGAACTGATATACAATATATATTTTAATTGTCTGCACATATTTGTGCACAGACTTACTCTATGCTCAGGAGTCTAAACATTCGGCTGTCATGCAGGGGGGTACTCTGTCGCACCCTACTATGCTCTTACAATTATTTTCAGGTGATACCTCAGTCATGTTTTGTGGTTTGATAGGACTGTGCTCCTCTAGTAGCTCAACAGTGAGGTTAAAAATTTCAAAGCAGTCTAGAGAAAGTAGATCCATCTAACAATCCTGGTGTACCCCTACTCAGAATGGGCTAATACTGTGTAAGCACTCTGTATCACTACAGTTCCAATATTTAATGCACTTGCTGTGTATATTGTAAATAATATATGTTCATTACAGTTATGCCATCTGTTAGCAACATGTGTAATTGGGTGTTTAATATAACCATCTGCACAATGCAGCCAGCTACACTCCCTCATCCAGCCTCAGACTCTTTTAATTAGCTTCATTCTCAAACATAAATTATAGTCTGGCCAAAATTCCCCTGTCCTCTCTAACCCTAGGCAAGGCTGATGGGAAACCATACCCTGACATGTCCATGTTTATCTGTCAAAGCACAAGATGCTCTGCCTCCCCATTTTTTCCCCTGCTCTGGAAAGCTCTCATGCTTGTGATCCACCTTAATTAGCAGACACTAACCTCTCACCTGAAGCCAGCCTTACTCAAAGAGGACTAGATGCTCCCTGGTACTACGCAGCTCAGCCACAAAGGGACAGCCCTGATTTAAGTAGTGGTAATGGTGAGTAAAGTGACTGTGCACAAATGGCTCTGTCTTACTCAGTAGAACTTGTGAGTGAAAACAGTCAGAGTTTACTTTCTAATAAAAGTAAATTTTTACCAGCATTTATTTTTGTTATTTTTGTAACACAGAACAATATTACAGAAGAATAAGGTGATTCAGAGCTCTCTCATCAACAGAAGTGTTAACCAAATTCAATTACAGAATCTTTATAATATAGATAAGTACAGGGCCAAAAATAACCCTGCTTAAATTGTCAGGTTTTGAATAGGGATTGTAGCAATGACTATGTAAAAAGAAAAATCACAACATCCTTTTATTTGTTTAGATGAGCTAACTGAATCTGGAAGATGTGGAGAACCTATAAGTAGTAACGCAATAACAACCTTTTATAAAGAGCCACTTAACAGAGTAGAAACTGCATTCTAGACCTCACCCAGAGACAAAGTGGACCAGGACCAAAGGCCCCAAACTGAACTAGAATTCAGTGTAGCTCATCAAATTTTAGCTGTTACTATGTCTCATTCAGGAGCCCTGAATATTTTTGTTCCTCGTTCCTTTAATCAGAACCTGATTTCCATTAATGGCTAAGTGCAGCATTTCATTCTGTATGGTTATTAATATAAAGAATATATTGAGTTTACCACCTTGACTGGACTTTCAGTATGTTAGGACACATATGCTTTGCAAAAACAGCTTGTAAGGGGTCACATTCTTGAAAAGTCAGGTTATGAGTTTTTATAACACCTAAATACAAACAAATGTACAAAAATTGACATGTTTGTGTGTTATCTTAAGCTTAACATTTATTAATTAATTAATTTCAGTTAACCAAAAAATAGTCAGTTAAAAAAACCATCCTCTGCCATCCATTAATATCTTCCTAACAGCAGAGGAAATTTAATTAATTTAAATTCTGGTTACTAGGAATGTCTTTCATTGTAAAAGCTGGAGGGTCAACTTCCAAAAGTTGGATCTCTCAAGATTTCTTCGCAACTCAGGTGATTTGCGAGAAGCAAGCAGCAGGCTGGCTTGATTCTGCAGAAAGCTTGATTCTGCAGATTCTGCAGAAAGCTTGGGGTTTTGAAGAAAGGCATAATTAAGCCCTTAAAATTTGGCTGGTTCAAAGATCATTAAACAAACAAACAAACAAAGCTCCTCAAACGTGTATAAACACTTACATAATTACCAAGAACTATGCCTTTAGACATACACTGTGAGGATACCAATAGAAATTAAGAATTTATCATCTGATGGACTGCATCTCAAACAGGAGATGTTTGTAACAGATAAAAATTGAATACACTTACTACATTTAATACCGCCCCCAATCCAATTCGATTTCAAAGTCAAATAGTCAATTTTAGGAAATAATTGTTTAGAATAGAAAATATTAGACCTAGAACTGAAATCATTCAATTGTATATAATAAATATTTGTCATCTTTGTTTTTTTAATTAACAAGCTTAAAGTACTTAATGCTATACAGTCATTTTACATTTAACCTACCATGTTTGCAGAAGAGCTGAAAAATTACATGACAATCATTGACATTTGTATAAATGTTGCACTTCTCTACATTCCTCTCTAGTGTGTTTAGACATCTGAATATGGGAAGGACAGACTATAAGAAAAAGTGCATTAATACAACATAAAGCAATATTCCCATAAAGCAATCCACAGAATTCAGCTTGTCACTTACAAAGAAGAATATAAACAATAAAATAAGCAAAAGCAACTGAGATAGTATTAATCAAAATCAGTATAAACGCACAATTACATTAGCAATGGCATAGGAGGTGGATGGATCTGTGAGTTCTGTATATAAAAATGTATGTACTTTTATTCAATAAAAACATTTTGAGTATGTGGGTGTCAACCGTTTTAGACTGAGGGCCAAACGTACTTCTGGAGGTCAAAAACCCCAGATCACAATCTTGGGGCTGATTCTGTAGCCTTTTCTCTTCTGTTTGTGTCACTTAAGGAGTGTAAAGTGAGCAACAATTACCCATAATATTAGAGTTTCCTTCCCCAGTAGGTGTGGGGTCAATATAGCCAGCTCCTACAATCCTGGGTACAGCGAGCTGTATCAGGTGAGGATAAGGAGAATGGTTGGGATGTGTTGCACTTGATCGCTCCAGCTCCTAGAAGTCTAGAGCCCGCTCTAACCTGGGTTGGGTTAGAGAATCAGGAGCCTTATCTAAT